AAGGACCATCAAAGAAAAAATTAAGGACCTATCAGAAAACAAAAAAATGAATAGAATAAAGCAATTATCCATACAACCGACTTCATGTTTGTAATTTCACTTTAAGAAAACTAACAGAAGTGTGTATTATGCACTATTATTAAATTCAATTTAATACTTACCATAAAACAATTTTGAAAAATTAAACTAACTCCCTACAAGTTTATGAAGTAGATAACATTAAATTAGGAACATAATTTCTTGAAAAGACATGTATAAGTGTATTTTACACTAATAACAGTCACTATTTTAGAGATTTACATGATTATTATTTAACTTATTTGATATTTATTTAAACACAGTCAAATACTATTATAATCACAATGTAAGAATATTTTGCAGATTAAAATAACTGATTTGTAAACATACAATTTATTTCCTTGGTTTTTTTTTGAAAGATACTAGAATAATAAACTGTACAATAAAAAAGATACAAAACATTTGTGCTTTTTTTTAATCTGAAATCTTTTCAGCTATTTTAACATCTAAATTTATTTATGTCTATTTCCTTTTCTTTAACTATTCTTCTAACGTTCATTTGCTTTGATAAACAAAATCAATGTTCTTGCTGGTCTCAGCTTCATCTGCTAAAGCATCTACTTCTTCATTAATATCTTTAATGTCCCTTTGAAGAAATTAGAAATTTTTCTTCTGCTTCATATAATCAATTTCTTCCTCAATAATATTTCTTTTCCTTTTGAATTTTCAGATTTAGTTAAAGATTTTTGTTCTTCTAAATACTGAACTTCTAAATAACGAACTCCACTTCTTGCAGAAGCTGCTGCTTGATCTCATTTCTTTATTAATTTCGATATTTAAGAACACCTCCAGAAAAATTTTATGTAATCAAATACTGTGTGCGTTGAAAAATGTATGATGAGTCACTTAAATTTTCAATTTCAATTGCTTTATTTACAGAGAAGCCCCTTTCCACAGAGGCCTGTTCATGTGACAAGATAAGAATACTTGTCACAGTGAATACTTGAATAGTGAAAATATACATTTTTACTATATATATTATATATATATATATATATAATTTATTTCCTAAACAATATTGATTAATTGATTATATTATCTCCTAAGTTTAATTAAAGTAGAATTATTTTAAAAGAGTGAATCCATACTGGTAAGTTATATTTTGAAAGATGTATACAGTACATATACATATATACAGTACAAATTCCGAGATCCGGACATCCAATATCTGGAATGATCTAAAATCCGGACCTCAAAGCCACCACCAACCAATTTTTTAGGGCTTTTTTGAAGGGAAGGGGTATGCTTTACGCACGCGCATTAGATTTTTTTCCTCATCATAAAAAAACATGTCCAGAAATCCCGATTCTTAATCTCAGTTTGGCGCTAAATAAAATATCTCATTAGAAGAAGAAATAATTATTTTAGCATAAATTTGTGTGATTAGTAACTTGACTCCATAGCTGCGTATCTGCTTGGCATAATCTCAAACCGAAACATTTGTTAATTTTACACCAACTAATATTTTATATCCTTGACGCCGAAATCGCGAATCATTATTTATTGTATTTTGCTTTCATCACCGCATGTTTATCAACGGATGACAACTTGAGTGATGAATCATGCAGCGACGCCAAATAACAGAGTATCATCCGATTACAGAATTAAGTTTAATGCGCTAAAATGTTGACAAGGGGAGATTTAGCAGAAATTTCTTTCCTTATGTTAAAAATAGATTTTGTTAATGATACTACTCATAGGACAAACGATTATATTTAGTGCTATTTGAATTAAGAATAACTGATTTGTTATTCACATAAAGCCAGAACCAGCGCCAGAGCTCGCATGGCCGCACCAGGCGGCAGAATTTAGCGAAGTTAAACAGAAGTTTTTCATTGCGATGACAATGCCCAATCATCAATCAAATAACGGAGGGCGAAATCTATAGTATGGTTCTAAATCCAGAAAATACAGCTACCGATAGTGAAGAAAGTAACAGAGAGGTTACTAAACGAGAAAAAAATTTTAATTGACAAGTTATTCGGAATTCTCGACACAGCAATTACAGGACTTGAACAATGGAACTTAATAACTGAACAAGAAATTATATGTCTATAGTATTAGTCTAAAGTATTAGCAGAGAAAACAAATCAAACAACTCACATTGAAAGAAATGTTTAATAAAGTAAACATATAAATATTAAGCTCTTTTCTTTTGTAAATTTTGATACCCTTTAAATCATAAATGCTTCATTATTTCATAAATCACGATTTCATATTTTCAATTTTATAATTTCTACGTGCCATCTTAGTAGATTTAAAATGATCTAATATCCGGAAAAATCTCAAATCTGGGATCGCCGAAGTCCCGACGAGTCCAGACCTCGGACTTTGTACTGGTTGTATATATATATATATATTATATATATATATATATAATACGGAATGTATATTTTCAGTTAAACTTCTACCCAATAACTTTAGTAATTCATGAAAGTTAATTTTGCGTCTAGTTAATTCAGGAAAATTAGTTTCAATTAGTTGTTTTCAGCTTTAAAAATATTAAAAATTTTTTAATTAGTTAGTTACTTTTCAACTAATAATTGTATCACCATTAGCCAAAAATTATGCATTACTATCAACTAAACATAGGTTTAAACCAAATACTTAATTGTCTATTGAAGCTTCAAAAACGTATTTCCGAACTTCACTTTTTCTCGGCTAGCGTTACCGAATTTGCCCTTGGCGACCTAAAATTCGAAATGGAGCCAACAGATTTCCCGCGAAATCGATAACAGACCCTCTGTCAGAAATAAACTCATAATCCCGATATCCCATACATATAGTATGTGCAAAAGAGAATAAACTCCGTAGAAGGTGATAAAAAATTAATTTATGGCTTAATTGAAACAAACACAGAAATTAAATTAAGCTAAGCAAAACCGCGTAAAAACAAATTGAAATGATAAAACGAAACTTAATTTTCATGTGAATTTTCAGCGCTGACTCTCCCATTCTAGAAATTTCAATTTGTTTCAGACAAAGACCACATTTAGCTTTAAAAGGATTGCCATCCATCAATATCCAGTCTTTGTAGTCAGCTTGATGAAGCCACAGTTTATTGAAAATGCACTTTCCAGGCATCTCGTTCCTATTGGCGTCGGAAGGGTTGTGGCCTTCCAGGTTGGAATTGCTCTGATTTTGGCAAATATTTTCAGAATCCCCCCCTTTTTTTTCTCAAGTACCTTCATCATCACTTTCGCCTCTTAAGGGGACCGTGGACTTTGAAAAAGCTAAAAATCGACCAAAATATTGAAATTTTTTTTTTTACTCTCGTTGTATTACATATACTTAACTGCATCGTATGTAAAAAACCGAATTCAAATATTCTAATTTTTAACGAAGTTACAAGCATTTAAAATGTGTAAACAACATAAACTTTGCCCTTTAAATTTTGGCGAAAATGTAAACAAATATGTTTCAACAGTTATTTGCTGATATTTATTTATACTACTATATATTTAATTAATTCTTATAAAACCTGGCAATATAACGTTTTAACTGTAACTGCCATTTCACTGTTTACAGTTTAAAAGTGCTTTTCCTCGCTATTTTCTTTAGTTCTTTTGCTAAAAGTGTTTTGCTGTGTTTTATACAACTACATTTTGCAGGACTGTTTATAACTGAGTTTCTTGGACTGGAAGAACTGCAGATTAATTTATAACCTCTTGCGTAAAAGTATATATATATATATATATATATATATTTATTTATTGTACATTATGCATGCCATAAGTCGTCGTTACCGTAAGCCTAAAGGGCGACCATCGAAGAAAAAACTTGCAGCTGTCAGCAAAATTGAAAAACGATGGGCAGCTCATTCGGAAAATGACGTGACATTGAACAGTGAAGAAGTTTCTTCCAAAAATAAACAAACAATTTTTTCTGAAAGTTCTATAGTTGAAGCGAGTACTTCAATAAGTGCCAGTGTAAAGAAACTGAATGAAAGTTTATTACGAACGTCTGACTGTGGTGATAACCGAAATGATGATTCATATATTTTGATAAATCGTAAAATGTGGAATCCATTGCTATGTAATATAAAGTGTGACGAGTGCTCAACCAACTCTTTAGATATTGTTTCGAAAGGAATATATGGATATTCTACAAAACTTGAATTAGTTTGTAAAAACTGTGATAAAATATTTAGTTCAACATTTTCAAGTGAGCGGGTAAAACGGTCAAATACTTTTGATGTGAATACGAAACTTGTCGAAGCATTTTTGAAAATAGGCAAAGGCCACGCCGCCTTAGAAGTGTTTTCCATGATTATGGGAATTCATGCTATGGACAAAAAGACATTTGCTAAATGTTTACACAGTTTGTCTGAAGAAAAGGGGAAACTAAAAGGTGATTTCCTTCAGTTTTCTCGAAATATTGTTCGAACGAAATAAGCATAAAAAATTAATTAATATAAATAATGATGATGAGTGTATAGATATCACAGTGTCGTATGATGGCACATGGCAAAAACGTGGGCATACATCACTGTATGGAATAGGTATCGTCGTAGATGTCTTGACTGGGTTAGTTATCGACTACGAAATTCTGTCAAAATATTGTCCTGAATGTGTATGCGCGAAAAGAGATAAAAGAGATATGGATGCTGACAGTGCGGAATTTCATATATGGTTTGAAAGCCACAAACCAGAGTGTTCCAAAAATTTTTCTGGTTCGTCTAATGCTATGGAAATGAAAGCCGCAGAAATTTTATGGAAACGGTCCATCAGTACATGTAATATGCGATATGTTGGGATACTTTCTGATGGGGATGCGAAAACATATCAACATTTATTAACTCTGAATCTTTATGGTAATGACGTAAAAATTAGTAAAGAAGAATGTATCAATCATGTGGCAAAACGTTTAGGGGCAGGATTGCGCAATAAAGTTAAAGAGCTGCGTTCCAGAGGTATATATGTATCGGTGGACGAAAAGAAGGTAATCTGAAGGAAACTACAATTTTAAAGTTAACAAACTATTACAGAAAGGCCATAAAAGATAACATACCGGATATAGACAAAATGAAATCTGCAATTTATGCAAGCTTACTACACTGTTCATCTACTGATGTCTCACCAAAACATTCGAAATGTCCTACCGGTACGTTGTCATGGTGTTTTTATCAACGTGCAGTAGCAAATGAAGAGCAGCCGAAAGCACATAAAGCCATGAAAACTAAAGTATCTGAAAGTGTTCTTTCTCAAATATTGCCAATTTATCAAAGGCTAGCTAGCACAGAATTGCTGTCCAGATGCATTTCTGGTAAAACACAAAATGCTAATGAAAGTATCCATAGTTTAATTTGGAACAATTGCCCTAAAGAAGTGTTTATTTCTAAAAAAAGGCTAGAAATGTCAGTATTATCAACAATTAATGAATTTAACTTTGGTTGTGTAAATGCCATAAGCGTAGAACAGGAAGAAGTGAACTCGTTTTCCCTACTCATTGCAAAAAAGCGCGATCAGCGTCGCTTGAACCAAAGTAAAAAGAGAAGTTTACCTGCATGGAAAAAACACAGAAATAGTAAAAAATATTGTAAATCACTAAACGATAATGCAATTGTAGCAAATGAAGGTAAAACATATGGTGCGGGTGATTTTTAAAAATTTCATTGGGTATACGGCATAAATTGTTTTTACCTGTATAACTTCGAATCACCTAGCAATTTGTCATATGTTTATTTTTGTCATATTTAATATTATGAGATTAAAAATAGTTAAATCTTACAAAAATGTTATCGAATGTTTACAAATTTATATTCAAAGTTAATTTGCTGTTTCTCATGACCATGTATTAAAGGTAAGTTTGAAGGAAAACTTTAAATTCATTTTTCTCAAAACAAATTTTTTTCGCAATTTGTGTGTTTTGAAAATGCTCCATGCGTCTCATTTTTAGTTAAAAATGGATGATATTTGGAAGAAACTATATTGTTTATATGTTACAGTAGATCTGTGTATGCATTTTTAGATATGAGGTTATTAAGAAGTTTTTAAACTTGTGAAAACCTTTAACAAAAGGTGAAATTTTTTCGAAAATTGGGTTTAAGTTCACAAAAATAGCCTTTAAAAATTTCTTATCCATCATATTCAATAACGGATACACAAATACTTTTACCAAGCCTTTATAAGTAACATAAAGCAAACATTAGGGAAAAATATTAAAAATTGGAGCGCATGGAGCATTTTAAATTTTTAATTAAAATAATTAATTAATTGCTTTAAAAATTTTTAATTTAAAATAAATTGAAATTTTGAGCATATATTTTGTTTACTGATGCTATAAGATGTACATGTATAAAATTTCTTGTTGAAAAAATGAAAACTTAAAAAAATAATTTTTTAAGTCCACCGTCCCCTTAAAGAACTTCCGGCTTCACGCTTTAGTCACAATCTGCCTAAATTTATGGATAACACCTGTTTCGAAACATTGGGTGAATAGCCAGTCAGACACCGATACTTTCGTTCGGGTAGCTAATTGTTTTTTTTTTTTATCGTTTGCAACGCAAATCCGCCAACAGATTGGTTAAGAGCCGTGTAATTTTAATTTCATATTCATGAGAAATCGTAATTCACACTTAGAATGGCAATCATTAGAAATGATAAGAAATGTCAAATGAGCAAAATTAAGGACCGTTTATTCATTTTGGCCAAAATTAAGGACTTTTAAGGGCCAAAAATCATTTTTGAAAAAATTAAGGACTTTTAAGGACCGTACGAACCCTGCTTCTTTATTAGTTGTAAAAAAATGTTTATCGTTTAATTTTGTGCGATTGGAAGCTTTATTTTACATTTGTGACGTCCATTCGGCAGGACTGTTTCGAATCAAAGATAAACAATAGATACAATATAACGAAACGTTCTTCGGCGATTGTTTACACTTGAAGTAATAGTTTAGAAGAACTTATGACCAGAATAACAAAACAGATAAAGGATAAAACAGAGCTCAAAGCAAGATTTGAATCACTGAAAATAAAATGTGAAAGGATTAAATGCTCTAAATTCCAGTCACTTCTGAAAGATAAAAATATGACATAAGCTAAGGTAGAAGAAGAAATGGCTAAATACAGTGAGTAAGAATTAAGATTTCTAAAGATTAAAGAAAAAAAAAAAAAAAAATTGCTGAAACAGCACAATTAAATTTCGAAAACGAATCTCAAAACTGGATTCAAAACTCAAATAAAACTACCCGAGATAAAATTAACAAAACTGAAGATTTAAGAAACTGGATTGGTTAATTGGACCAATTTATAAAATTTCATAATGATCCTTCTTTATCCAATGACGATAAATTTGAATATTTGAAACTAGTGTGAAACCTGGGTCATTAACACAAAATTAATTGAAGATTTCCCCCCACCTAAAGAAAACTATGAGAAAGCAACAGGATTTTTGAAATCCAGATTAAATTCACAGTTACGTGCATTAGAATCAGTAAAGAAAAATACGCTGCGATACTTTTCCCATTAACTGAATCAGCGATTCCAAAAAACATTTATAAGCTTTGGGAAAGACACCAGGTAATTCAAAAAGCTTCGACAAAAATCGTAATGATTATTTATGCGAGTTACTGAAATTTTTAAGAATAGAAGCAGAAGGACAGGAACTTTTTTTTTTTTCTTGGTAATAGATTGATAAATTCTTCTGAGGGCTGAGCAGTTATTATGGATTCTACTCTTAGAAAGAAGATGGTTGAGAAGAAAAAAGGTGCATTTTTTCCCTGTCTGAAACAAGAGCATCTTAGTTCCAAATATACGGTTTGTGAAGTGTCCTGCATGCAGAGGAAAATATTATCCGATATTTTGCTAGATATTCAATAAAAATGCAGAAAATATCAAAAGAAAATACTTGTAATATGTTGACGAAGTATCAGAAAGAAACTATTTCTTCACAAATTTTACTTGCTAATGTAATTAATGAAAATGTCACGAAGAAAGTTACAGTATTAACGTGATTCCGGTTCACAAAGAAGTTCTATTCCCAAGAACAGCGCAAAAGAATTAAAAATGAAACATACATGTCTAGTATACACTGAAGAGCAGAAACATTACGGCCACCTACATAATAACGCATTACGTGACCTTTGGCCTGAAAAAGAGCTGCAACTCGATTTGCCATGGATGTCACAATTTCTTGGTAGATGAGTGGAGACAGGTTGTACCAAATATCTAAGCAGTGGTCATGCTTAGACATTAAGTCATAAGTCGAGATATTCCAACATGGTGGGGTTTGAGGTCTGGGCTGCCGTTCCATGACATCCCAAATGTGCTCTTTCGGGTTAAGATCCGGGGAGTTCGGTGGCCGGGACATTAACTGGAATTCATCCCTTATGCTCCTCGAACCACTCATACATAATTCGAGCCTTGTTGACTTGCGCGTTGTCTTGGTAGAAGATTTCATTTCTAGTTAGGAAGACAAATGATATGTAAGGATGCAACTAATCCGCAGTTATGTTCAGATGCAGCTTTCCTGGTCTGTTCTGCCACAACTAAGGGTTCCAGAGCCACTCAAGGGAACGTCCACCGAAGCATAATACTGCCACCACAAGCCTATGTATGATCTGCTGTACGAGGGGGAGCAATTGTTCTGGAAGACAGCGTACCCTGACACGACCACCGACGTGATTCATCCAACCAGGCAAATGTCTTCCACGTATCCATGGTCCAGTCTCAATGCATGTGGGTGCAAGTTGACAATGACACTTGGTCAACAGAGGCACACACGGTGGGACGTCTGTGCACAGTCCCTTACTCAACAGTGCCCGCTAAACTGTGTATTCCGAAACGCTTGCACTTATACCTGCATTGGATTTTGTTTTCAGCTGAGCCACTGTCTGGCGCCGATTTTGCTGTACAAAGCGTGACTGTATCTAACATCTTTTTTCTTTGATGACGCGTGGACGTTCAACACATTGGCGTCTACCGCTGGTTTCACAGTCATTTATCCACTTTACTAACAACGGCAGATCGTGAACAACTTACCAGTCTTGTAGTTTCGGAGATACTCGTTCCGAATCTTCAAGCCATTACAATCTACCCTCTATCAAATTCTCTTAGATCAGCAGCCTTTCCCAACGCTCGCAAAGGTAAGTGCAAGAATGATTTCTTACCTTCTCCAACAGCAGTTCAATACCATTCCGCTTACTCACGTGCCCTCCACGTCGTCCAGACGAGTTCATAGAAAAATGTGGAAATGGTCATAATATTTTGGCTCGTCAGTGTATACTGAATAAGAATTATTTGGAAATATTAAGACTGCACTTACATCATACTGTATTTATAGATTCTTGTTAGCAAGTTTGGACTATGATTTTCAATGCGCTGATTTTCAGTACTTGATCAAGATCGTATGTGTAGTTATATTCCTAAAATCAGTGATGTTGTTTTTCGTATAAGTTAAAAAAAAAAAAAAAAAAAAAAAAAAAAAAAAAAAAAAAGATCTTTAGATTTTTCAAGCACAGACGATGATTTCGGTGATATTCAGGTATTATTGGGAGCTGATGTATGGTCTAAAATTATTAGATCTAAGTTTTATAAAATTAATGTAAATTTAGTGGGCATAAAAACTAAATTTGGATGGTGACTGGTTGGCACATCAAGAAGTGATAGAGGCGTCTCTTCAAATATTTTAGTTGCATTATTTTGTTTTCAAGCTATTTCAGAGTTTTGGGAGTTGGGATAGAGTAAAAGTATCTAAAAGTAAAAGAAACGATGAAATTCGCAAATCCTTTGAATAAACTGTAAAAAGTGATAATAAATATTGTAAAATTACCCTGGATTAAAGATTACCCACCGCTTGAAAATAACAAGGAGGTTAGAATAGAAGGAGGGAAGGTTCAACTCAAACGGTGAAGCTTGGCAGCCATGTTACTGTTATCGCTGTGACTTGTGCAAGGAAGTCCGTAATTACAATATTTTTTCTTCTTTTCTTTTTGAAGCATGTCAGCTTGTGTTGTATATGAATGCACAAACAGATTTTCGAAAAAGGTTCCTGGGATTACTTTTCCCGCGTAAGTATTGATTTTCTTTTTTTTTTTTTATGTAATTTGATAAGTTAGGTAAAAAATATCACAATGTCATGTTGTTTTCTTTCCAGATGTGAAAAAAAGGACTTAATAATAATCAAAATATGTTAAATACATTTTAATGTTTCTGTTTATAGGCACTTTTGTTCCTTACCATACAATGATGTATGCTAGAATTTAAACTATATAATTTGAACGTTTTAGGTAATTCGTTTGATAATTTTCATGAAAAGTAAGACACCAATTGTTACTATTTTTATGAATTGTAAAGGTTTTAAACAAAGTAATGCTTTTCTTTATGTATTAATTATTATTAATTTTTAAGTTTTGTGAACTGTTAGGAATATAATTTGTGCATTTGATCAAGATAAACTAACTTTTCTGTTGTTAAATTTTTTTTTTTGCATAAATATACAAATTTGTGGACAGTATAGCGATAAAAGTAAGTACAATATTTACACAACTGAACATGTGGAAACATGTATCAAAAAATATAGGTATAGGTATATTTCTGTAATTCAGCTTAATTCAAGGCAATTTCTTTGAGATTCATAAATATGAAACGCACATAAACTGAAATCACTGAATTCACATAAATCTGTTTTATTTTATTAATATTTATTTTCTTGTTGTTATAAGGTTGTTGGTTGTGAAAAGAATCTATTTAAACTTTCATTTTAAAAAAATGCAACTTGTGACTATTTTTTTAGAAAATTATCTGCTATTAATTTTAGGTTAAAATTATTTTAAATGATTCTTTAATAAAT